GTTAAACAATCTATTTCCATAACATCAAAGTTGGTTCAAGATAGCAATTCCAAGGCTTGGAATGACCTAGACATCATATATTGGATCAAGCTTGGTTGAAGCCGCGTGGTTGAAGCTCGGAATTCCAAACCTGGGCCATGATCGAAACTACCTTGGTATACAAGCTTGTATTTGCATTATATCAACAAGCTTGGTTTAACCATGACAATAACCTAGAATCAAGGTTGGTTCAAGCTAGCAATTCCAAGGCTTGGAATGACCTAGATATGATATATTGAATCAAGCTTGGTTCAAGCTAGGAATTCCAAAGCTTGGTATCCTAAGCTGATCCAAGCTTGGACCCATCGTCCAAGCTTGGATTTCCCCACCTGGGAATTGCTGCTTAAAATTCTGATATTCTTCTGAAGTTTCAGTAAAATCTAAGTAGCATGTCTTGTTCTTTAATCGTGTTTAGTGTGACTGTGTTGTAAAATGGTACTAAACTGTTCATGAAATTTCAAGGGGGTTAGTTTGTTTTTTCGCGCGTGGGAGGTTTACAACCCTAGCCTTTCACTCGGTTTGTTATCGCACGGGTGAAATACAATATTTATGCCCGAGTAACGTACGTTATTTTATATTAAGGTGTGCAATAACCGAGATTTGGTAACTACAATCGAATATACTGGCTTGAATCAAAAAAACAGTTGTGTGCATCCAACAGCATGGGAAAATATATGTTCCATTAGATTAACATGGTATTTCATTTCATTCAATCTAATCAGAAAAAAAGACTCAACTGAATTTGTTAAGGTAATATCAAGCGACGTCTTCTATGGGCGTGCGCTCCTTGTTTAGTGTGGTACAATAATTATTCTGAAAAATTTATCTGCCCGTGGTACTCTCATAGAGGCCCAGTAGCTGACCTGAATCGCATTAGCTCCCACATCGTTTCTGGGAGCTAATGGACTACGTAAAGATAATTAAGTGCGCTCTTGTATGTTGCCCGTATACCCTGACCGGAGACGACCGTGCATGCCTAAACGTTCGATGACACGTGTAGTCTCATGGGAACCTGTCCATTATCATTTAAGGGAAACAGGACAAACAATCAATCGGGATGTGCTCATTCTACATGGATATGTATCATGAAAACAAGATATTTTTTTATCAAATATCCATTGATTTAACTAAATTATCCATACTAACAAAACGGTATACCCCAAATGAAAATACGCACAAATCATCTTGATATTTTCATTAAGTTTTGATGATAACAAACATCTTGCTTTATAGAGGATAATTATCTTGCACATGTTCATGGATTAACTCCAACAATAAGTTATTAATTTTTTACATATCGATCATCCTCTCCTAAAAATGATTTTCATTAATTATCTAATGTTGAAAATGATCAAGAAAGTCCATTTAAGTTCATTATTAACAGGACGATTTTCTGAAGCAGTATCATTAAATCATTTAAATATAATCAGAATTTTTTTAAACTATTCGTCAAGAGTGATACTGTACTGACAGATTGAGTCCTTTTTTCTTCCTGCGAGCATTAGCATAAAATTCTTAGCGGTTGACAATTGTACATAAACAAAAAGACGATTCCCTTAATTGGGAGGTCAAATTGTTATTTTCATCTTTTTTATGGAAATTTAATGAAAATTACACAGCATAAAATAAATATTCCCTTTTTAACTCTAAACATTTCTTTGAAGTTGGAAGCTAATTGTGAATGGACGACTAATATTTACGGATTCTTGCTGCCTAAATCCGTCAGGAATCAACTGAGAAAACGTTTATTTCTATTTCAGCGGATTTTTCTACTTAATGTCGATCCCTTGTACACAGAAGGGACGACAAAACAATTATATGTTTCAACTCGGGAGTTTTCGCGAAGATGAGATGTTAATTTTGATGAATAATTTCAGAAAAATTATGGGTAACACAGAAGTTGGTTCTTGAGATTGGCCAGTTCTTGCGTTCGGCTCGAACGCCAACTCCCCACGAGAAAAAAAAATCGTATCCCAAAAGCTTGGACTAGTATATTTCTTGACTGTTGGGATGGGGGCATTTAACACTCTGGACATTATTTTTCCGTAGTGATTTTTTAGTTTTCGAGTTTGGGAAGTATGTAGTACCATTTCAACAAATAATTCAATACATATTAAGTTACGAGTCCTTTTTATTTGAAAGGAAATTCAAACTTCCATTAAAGGGTGAACTGGCACTTATTATACCACCGGAGCTTCAAAATTATTGAGCATTTCTGGATAGGTTCGTTACAAACAATTAAAGGAGTCAAGTTTTCTAGGTTAAAAAATCTCTTCTGGAAATATGATACCTTCATTTGTTCACAGGGAATCCGGAGGGAAATGTCAGATGATTCTGAAGCTAGAAGAAGTGTGGTACTCAAGGAATTAGTTTTCCGACCCAAATGTCGGCCAATAAAATTGCACCATGAGACTAAAGTCACAGTCAAGAAATGAGAATTTCGTATCTGTATGTGTGGTGTGGAATTAATTTGACTGGATCATATTTTGTTTGTTATATATAGCAACTGCCAGAGGAAATTGTCAAAAAATTATCAGTATAATACCATGTAGGATGTACCACGTGTCGTCGAATGGTGCAATTCTATTCGATAAGCTAGGCTAATGACTTCGATTAACGCGGTAGTTAGGCTTGGACGTTGCCAAATTCATTCTATACTGTGACGGTGCATTTAGCGAGTTTCTGGCAACGTCGCGTCACAGCCATTTTGATTTAACATGGGAAACAATAATTCCCTTGCTTGATATAATTCATTTTCAACAGGAATTCTAAGAATCATTATGTTTTGAAACTACTATAATTTTTGAGAGACTCCTTTAAAAATGCTTCTGGAAAAATGATATCGAGTTATCTTTCAATTCATTTACCAGATTCGTTGGAGGCAAAGTTATGCGCAGAATTATTACAACAAAGTAATTATGGTCGTCATTGACCTCGATGCATTCACAGTTCCGGTATTTACCGTTTAGCGTTTGCAAGGAAAAAGAAATCCCGATATTTTCGGAATGAGGTATGCCAAAAGAACTGGAAGCCTGCAAAGCCAGGCTTGAAACAGGTTTAGTCTAAAATAAGCCTCGATTAATTAACCTTACAAGGTTAAATAACCCTTACAGCGTCTGATGACTCTAAATAGTACACAAAAAACGAAATAATTCACACACTTATGAATCATTATTATTATTAATTGTGCCTCACGTATACAAACTACTATTAAATTTTATTCTGAAAGACGACATGGAAGAATTATTAAATTGAAAAACTTATTAGTGAGAAAACTCATTTGATTCAATGAAATGTTCTTAATTCAGAAATAGATTATTCATTCATGAATATGATAATGTCCAAATGTCAGTAATAGCTCGAAATCTTCAACGTCCTCACAAGTATACATGTCTGACGTTCAAGTTATCTAATGTCTAATTGTTTATTTAATTGCACGAATTATCGATTTCCGGTACGAGATGTAGAGCCTTAGAATTATCACAGAAAAATGTTGATGTCTGTGACTCGTGTCTGGAGAATTATATGCGTAACTGTTCTCGAAGATGGATGGATGGAGGAACTGGTGTTTGTTTAACGAATATATTACTCTCGGGTCAATATTTTTTACTCTTCCTATGATGCTGCTTTGACGCATGATCCTTTGTGGCAAACCTGAATCAAAATTATTCCTTCGATGAAATTTTAGGACATTCGCTTTGTTAATTTATCGATATATGCATGGAGCATGTAGAGCAAATGACAGTAATAATTCCATTTTTTCATTTCCTAAACATTTCGGAAACAACCAAGTTTTTAAGAAATTACTTTGAAGAGCATATCATAACAATTAAGATATTTGCATTGTTATGTACTTATTATTACAAACTACTTCAGTTCACCTTATAAATTTACATTCTTGAAGGTGGGCTATTTGTAATTATTGGTCTAGGGTGAAGAATGAACAATTGATTTCATTTTCCTTTTTTTGTTTAGGCCATGTTGTCCTGATCTCTGATTGTATTTTTTACCACTGAAAATTGATTTTATAAAGATTTGAAATCTTTATAAAATGGGAGAATCACCGAATTTCAGCTTTCTTGAAGATATCCATTTGAGTATATATGGAGTATATAGATTAAAAGCATATGTTCCATGTAGGTCAAGAGTGAATTGTTAAATAAATTTTCACTCACAAATTTAATTGCCTCTTGATCATTGCCACTGATGTGAAGAGCGCAAAGCATCCCCTCAGGTGGACTTCCTGGTCTTGTGTGAATGGTAAAACTCGGCCGGTTGCGACAACTAATTGGTCTAGTGCAGATATCCGCCCTGTATGCATAACTCGCCTGTAAACAAACAAATTATGGATAGAATGAGGGCGCATGTTTATTCAGCGTGATTTCAAGTGCCCAGATGAAAAAAAAAATTTATTGAGAGGCTTTTTGCTTGGAGCAACTTTTATGTTGTTGCAGACATTCCAAAGAAATTAAATCTTACGGCTGATAGTAATTGCTTTCATCTGAGAAGCATTAAGTTGAATCGCATAATGAATTATATATTTAGAGTGAAGTTACGTGTATACTACGAGAGTGAAAATGTTGTCCATATACTTATCATTTCCCAACTAATAATCCTCAATTAAATTTTTTTCTGCTTGTATAAATTGATGAAAAATATATTCCGATGGACTGATTGAATCGATAAGTCGAGTGAATCTTGTTCCCTGTAATAAAGCTGATATTCAAATGAAGCTCTCCCCAGGCCGCATTGGGTTGAATCGATAAAATCAAAATTCGTGTAGAATTACACATAATCTGCGATTCGGTTATCGTGGAAAATGTCATTTTGGTTTGGCGAAGAAATCTAAACGTCTTTTAACACATCGAAACCTCAAGACAATCTCAAAAGTTCTATTTCACTCATTTTTGTTTATGACTTTTTATTGATAGGAACCAAAAAATTCCTGAGGGTTCTTTTTGAATTAAAACATATCACTTATATTGATTTTTGCAACAGAAAATCAAGTCATATCTTAAAAAGAGATGTAACTGATCAATTAATTATGAAATTATGTTGATTTGGAAATTAACAGCCAAATGATAGTAATTTTGTGTCAGTATGGTTGACTCACCCAAGTGGCTTCTGGAGTTCCCAAAAATTCCCTACACAGGTCTCCGGGAGTTGTTGTGAGAACAATCGGGTGTGCGATCTTTGAGGGCTTGAAGACCTGTTCGGAGCCTAGTTCTAAACTGTGGTCCACTAGTAGTTCAGAAAAACAAAATGGTAAAATACTGATTTAGTTCAGAGGATCGTATTATGAAGGAACTTACCATAAAATTGGCCACTGCAATTATTGCAGAGTATAGTCAGTAGAACCCCAATAAATATTTTCGACTTTGCTTCCAACATGTTTGCAAATAATTCCGACGTATCTCTCCTGCGGTTTCTTTAGTCAGGATTCGTCAACAGATGCAGCTGTGAGTAGCATTCCTCGGCTATTTATCTTCCCAGTCCACCTATTTCAGTCGTAAACTTGGATATTACATTCGTAATAATGGTAATAATAAATTTTACGTTCTGTATTCACAGAATAATCATATTATATAACTGCCAATAATGGTTTCCAGTCAATAACAAGTGAATGTAATTGAGTAACTTATTCCATAAAAAGTCGATTCCAAGACGACAATATTCATTTTTGACCATGGAAATTTTAGTTCATGGTTCATTTTCATTAAACTTTGCAGTAAATAACCCCATCTGCTTTCAGTCGAAGTGCATACGAATGTGCATGCGTATGTTTGTATATGTGTATGTTTTAAAAACCGAAAAATTCCAAAGTTTCGAATTTTCCTGGAAAATTCGATCAAATTACGCATTGTCCTTTGTCATTTATTTAACTTTTACCGTAATTGAAAATTCATAACTATGGTGATAGTTATCAGTTATTATTATTATAGTTATAGTTATTACAAGATTGTTGGTCTTGTCAGTCAACTATTAGCGAATAAGAGATTTAAAAATTCATAGTTTTGCGGGACATTCGACATTGCCACTGGCGAAATTTTATGAACACAACTGAATAAAAAATATTTAACCACGTGGTAATCCCTAAAATTAGGTTTTCAATACATTTGTAAAAAATATTGCTCTGCTTTTAGAATATTTCCAAGTAGAATCGTCATTTATACCCTTCTCTGAATTTTAACTAAACTAAAGGTTAATAAAAATTATCGGTCGACCCTTTGAAAATCTATCCAATTATGAATAAATATTTAAATAAGAGTATTCAATATACGAAAAAATTCACTCCATAATTTCACTCCATGAAATTTATGGGTTTCAAGTTAAATATTCATTTTTTGCTGCACGTTTTGCTCTTGATTTAATGTAAGACTGCGCGAAAATTAATATTCACAAAAAATAGTGGACTTTACAATTCCTTCACTGATTCCGGGAAAGTATTTTTTTTCACTTGTATCGCAATGTACCAGTATTAGAACGTCCTGAAAAAATTGCCTAAGCATATCGTACGATTTTCCCCGACTACATTTCACTCCGGAATGACAGAAACAAACAGAACTCTTATCATATATTTCTCTTCGCATGATAAGAATAAAACTTAGGCCTGCAGATTATATGTTAATTACCACGTAATATTTAGATTTGTTTGCCCGTGTATGAAATAAAGAAATAACGCCAACAACGTTCTTTAATTATCTAAAATAGCGAGCAAAAATTACTTGAAAGCTCGACAACTCAGTTGTTTATGTTCAAAGAGTTATAGTTGTTGCAGGGATCGGTTGAATGGTAATGGTGGGGGGTAATGTCGGTATGGGGTTATTGCCTGTTGGGTGATTTATCTAGTAATACTAGCCGACAGGGCCACGGGTACATTGCTGAGACGTAAGGGGGTGGGTAACCCCCTCTCGGACCACACCAGCACCCGTGGAAATTAAAAACTCACTTTATTACACGTCTCATTCTCCAACTCACTCCCCCCCGTACCTTTTCCACCGACTTAATATGAGGCCGACCCATACCTGATGGAACGAATCTTATTAAAGTTCGTCGGCACGCGAAACCCGTGAAATATCGCTCGAGCGAGTCAACTCTCTCCTCCCTCCTATTCTTCTTTCCTCTCTCTTTCACTTTCTCATGCTCTCTGTCTTTTATTATTACCACACCTTACTCTCCACTCATTCCGTCCTTTTTTCATTCTTTTACCCTCCTTTTCCTTTTTTCCCTTTTTTTTACTTTCCCACCGTTCTGATATGAAACATTATCATCTGTAATGAACATTTATGTCTCGAAGAATGCAGTTGAATCTCGGTTAAAAATTAATGGAAATATTAATTGGAAGTGACTGCAGTCGTATTTTCATTTGGCCTGACCTCTTAGATTGAAAACCAATATTCATTAATGGATTTTAAATTTTTCAGTTCTGCATTTTTAAATAATTAAGATTGACTGGTATATTATACTAATTTTATCTTATCAGTTGTCCCCTTATTTTATTACGTGACTTTATTCTCCACTCACCTATTCTTACATATGTATTATACAATATTAAGAGCAGATGACTCCGGATATATATATTTACCCATAGATTTTCTTAAATGAAAAAGAAATCTTCAGTAATAAAATGAGTGTTTATTGATTCTATAAATACATTCCTTTTTTCTTGTCATCATAGAAATGAATAGCAGGATTTACTTTTAATCAATTTCTCGCATATAAAACGAATTGATTTTTCTTCTCGTGCATTACATTTTACAATCTGCATTGCATTTACACTAATGGGATGCACTAGCGTTATACCCAAAGGGCTGAATATTGAAAATAATGCTGATGCAATTTGGATATGATTGTAAATAACGATGATAGGCCTTTGATTATAACGCAAAATCGGTTTAATTACTCATTGTAAAACACTTACAATATTTTCAACATTTTTTAAATTGAATGAAGCACGTTTTATTAATGCCAATAAGGCAATTACTGATGGTGAACGGGTTTTCTAGCGACCTTATTGGGTGTCTCAGTCGTATTACCCAGCGCCCCTGAAGTAGGAAAAGCTTTGAGCAGCACTTGAGCAAGGGGAAGCACTGGGGTGATCCCTGGAAAAAAAACCGATAAAGTTATTTCCAATTACAAAGAATTACTAGGAAAGTCTCAAACAGGCGATCAGAATAATTCAACTTATTATTTTTTCACTGGGGTATTGTATTTTTGAGGGAAAAGAGTGAGTTTGATCGTGAGTCAGTCGAATCCTCCGGTAGAGACGGCAAGGGATTGGGGCGATAATAGTGGAGATTTCTCCAGTCTCTAGCTGAGCAATATTCCATCCCAATTCTACTCCACATGCCTCACCTACACCCCCATATTTATCGTGTACTCACTGGGCTCTCAGCAATTTATTTATTGCCATTTCACTCATATCATTCTATTATACCCATCGAAATTTCTATTGAAATATCGAATTTATTATCTTCGTATTATCCGACGATTTTATTTTCCCATTTTTGTTAAATAAATATTACTATTGAAATATTAATTCTGGTGGTAATGAGTTGAGGTTTGCATAATGCAGGTTACATACAAAAAATAAGAATACTTCACACTATCTTATACAGGTTTTATGCATAACAATGGAGATTTCTAGCAATATTTAAAGAAGCTTTCGTATATATAAGCTATGATCAATTAATCAGGCAGGAATGATGCCTAATGTTGCCAATCCTTTGTCATTAATGTTTGACAATATTTTGTCATGAACTTCGCTTTAACATTGACATTTTCTTACATCCAATGAATAGACATGAATTGAGTAAAGATCGACATGAAGCAACCGCTGTTTTTGTTCAATCGAATCTCCACAGCACATTCAATTTGAACAATTTGCGTCAAGTATATGTTCTCTACATTAGTGACACCACATGAGCTGCAGCTTCAGACAAATGCGATGAGACCCGGAGTCTCCCTGAGGATGTTCAACCGATACCGACAATATTCAATACAACCTATATTTTTTTTAATATAATAGTTGAGAGTATGAATTAAATAAATTCCATATGAATATAGGCAAGTCACATTTTCGGTCCCCCGATCCATCCATTTTAGCGTGATAATAATTAGTGAAAACATCTATCCTGCAGCACAAAGTCTTATGGAAAGACGTGAACTCGTTAGCTTTGATTGAAGAGAGCACTCGGATATGCACTCATCATCATAAAAAAAAATTTACTCCTTTACTTGACAATATGGGGAATATTTTAACGGCGAGAAAAATTAGGGTAACCGATACAATACGCGAGATATTTGTGATTGATTTTTGAAAGGTTCTGAAAAAAAGTGGCCGCTATTACGATTGTAAAATATTGACAACGCTGTTCTTACAGCTGAGCAATGTCGGCAAGGTAGATGCGGAGCACCTCGCTAAATGCGGTGTTGCACGGTCAAAACTCGAGGATTACCACAGTAGTCAATAATATGTGAATGGTTATAAACATTTTCCATATTTCTTCATAATTTGAATCGAAAAGTATACCACGAGGCTTGTAAATTAATAGAAAAAATTATTTATATCGTAAAAGATTTATTTTAATTTTTCTATTCTATTTTTTAACACGATTGCTCACTTGAACGGTTGAACATTCTGAAATTTTTTGGAATTGTTTAGAATCTAAACAATTCCAAACTTTAGATGACCGAGATTATGTTCAGGAAGTGGAGGACAAGTCTGAGCTATTCATTACTTCACAGAATCGATGGATTTCTTTTCCCCTGACTCACATTCGAAGAATAGCTAATAGGAAATAATATACAAGTTATGGATATCGTTCATAAAATCTGTTGTGAATTGGTAAACTGACCCTGTGTACTTCACCTAGAATTACCTGTAATGCGATATTTCTGAAATAATATATAATAAAGACGGAAAAATTTTCATAGGCTATTTTGTAGAGCTAGAAATGTCGACTACAAAAAAAGTTGAAACAAAAGTGGCGCTATCTCTATCCAATTATAAGATATTCATCAATAATCGACTCTAACATTAATGCACTTACCCTACTTTACCAATTTACTACAGAAAAGTTAGGCATAATTTTTTGTATTACAATATCCATGATTTTCTCCGAAATATACAATAAAATTGTAGTGAGACTAAGCATTTGAGGAGGGACTCCATTTATTTCTTTGCAATTTATTTACCAATATTTCGCGATGCATCAAATATGCTCAATTTCACAGCATGGTATCAGGTAGTTTTTATGTATACTGAATAAGTATTCCAACTTCTTGCATTGAATGATGATACCGAAAGATGCGCATGAAGTTTGCATAAGATTATGTAAAGTATCCTTGGTGTTCTTGTGTATATAATCAGAAAAAGTTTGTAAATGCTTTAAAAATTAATGGCGTTGGGATATTATGGACATAAATTGTGTACATAACAAATGACGTCAATTGATTCATCTCTTCATATGTCCATTATCTCTAATTGTATCAACATGTGTCTTCTTTGGGGTCGACTCCAGCGGCACGTCCTCGTCGTGACCCTAGATAACGCAAAGAACGGTGTATTCAAAATCATATCTCCCCACCTGATTGTTTCCCCCAAAAATGATTTCCAGAGCCTCAATTAATTGAGTTACGGAAATCAACATATCGTTATCCGTAATGTCTTCAGCCCGCCCCCCTCCTCCCGCTCCCCTGACGCGCCATCTTTGAGGACATAATGAGTAAATGATATATCTTCATTTGAATTAAAATGAAATCGAATAGCTATCGTAGAGTATCGTAGTGGTACACCGTTCATAGTATTCAGTCAATGATGGTTAGTACCGAGGTGACATGCCAAGATATTATAATAGAGTAATCTACTAGGTTTTTCTAAGGCATTTATTCTTTTTCGTGTCTCCTATCTTTATAAGTGTACCAACATGTGTGGTCTCTAGGACCGACAACACCGCCACGTGCTCATCGTGGTCGCAGAATAACACGAAGAGCGGTCTCGGCATGTTGGTCAAGTTGATACATCAATACCTCATCAGAAAAGTTAAAAGTAACGGTCGATAGAGTGCCATTGAAGTATCTGCCGTGCCACTGAAGCTAAATAGCTAGAGCCTGTCTCTTAAATAATAACCGAAAAATTATGAAACTGATGTTTTTGGTCTTTTAGGTGCCTCAAAACATGAATCCCATTTTATTTTACTAGAGAATTTAAAATTGAAATTCATTAAATATTCGAAAATTGACGTATTCACGAGCATAATCGGCAAATCTCGAATCTTGTCTAAATAAATCAATATGGAGCCATATAAATATTGAAACTTGAGAAATTTCTTCGCTCTGTATAAAAAAAGGATGTTTTGTCATCTTTTCTACCAGAAAAAAATAGTTTGTTCATCAGACTACTGAAAAAATTAATTCATTAAACGACTTTAATTCATTAAAGAATTGAAAGTTGACTTAGTCTCCAGTTAATGAATTCCCAAATTTCGAACTTTGAATCGCTGTCCCAGGTAGTTCGACTGAAAGATCGGCCGAGTGAATAAATCAACGACAAGGCATACAACGTAACAGCTTTTAGTCTAAGTATCCCGAGAGTAGCCTTTCCTCTCTTTCCTCATGCCCTCAGAGTGGTATTTGGAAAAAAATAAAATTCCAAGAGAAGAAGAGGATGAA